CAGCTCTGAAACTATATTAAGAACCTTTGGCAGCAATGAATAATAACTTTTGGCAATAATGTTCCGCTAAATTAATGTAGATATAAGAAAGGCATTTTTTTCAAGTTAGTGGCAACAATTTAATTTAACTATGATTTGCTATGAGAGTACATAGTAAAACTTAACGAAATTGTGCGCCCGTTGGAGCCAACTTCTGACCAGAAATGGGAACGGGTTGAGGGGGCCTTATTGATAAGGTTCAAAGATCGAGCCTTTAGAGGCCGGAGAGAAATCGCCAGAAGTGATGGAACGTGGCTTTATTGTTTTTTAATCAGACAATAAAGTCAGCAGGTGAAAACAAGAATCGTCCAGTTGTTGCTCGCCGTAACAGGAGCGTTAAAATAGAAATGTACGCTATATCTTTTGACAGTGATGTAATAGTGGTCCGTGTTGCTGTGCCTGAGAGGGATAGTGTCACTTGATCATTTAACTGTGACCATGTTTTCACTACTGTATGTAATCACTACATTACAAAGAACCCTGTTGCGCAGATCAAATTACTCCATGATTATGCACCTGCGCACCTGTCTGCCTTGGTTCAAGCTTATTTAGAGGAGAGAATTGAGGTTTTGCTGATCCCGCTTAAAAAAATCCTAATCTTTCTCCTTGTATCTTTTGATTAAATCCATACATAGAATCTTGTCTTGCCGGTCTCCGGTTCGAAACCCGTAGTGCCGTCGGAAGCGCTCTCTATTAGTGTTTAAACAGTGTACGCAAAGAACAGCTCAAAATGTTTTTTTGAATGGATTCTGAGGCCGGAAAAGTGTGTATAGGCCCATGGCTTTTGAAGGACTGCCCTAATCATAATTTTCACAGGTATGACTTATACATTTAGTTGCCACTAATTAAAGTATGCCCCTCGTATTATGAAACACCCAAACTGAAATACAATGTATGTTCAGTTTATAAAATTTATGATACTGTGAATACTAATAGTAAAATATCTCACACCTGCTTCAACGCCTACAATGTACTTCAAAAGTCTTTTTTTTCCCTATGCAAAATCCATATATCACTTTATGAAGTAAAGGGCGACTTTACAGTCGCTTTTAAATACTCTTAAGAGAGTAATTGTAAGAGAGAACTGAATGGAAATTTAGTTCCATGTTTTTCTTCTTTATATAATTATAAACATTACATAGACTATGTAAACTTACCATGTGCAGAAGGAATGTTCTTAAGCGTCGCGCCCGTATACGTAGACACACGCACCCAAGGTTTCGAAAGTTGGTATTCACATGGTCCTGATTCAAAGTCACACGTTGCATTTTGAACAGTGTCAATAATGCAGCTTGATGACGTAAGTCTACCTGTGTATACAAATTATTTCGTCAGTTAAATTTGTATTTAAGGTTTTAATTCCTATTCGAATTTATAATCTACTTTGAATGAGCAGAAGGATTAAAACCAGCGGGGGTTATTTTTTTCGTATGTATGTTGATGAGCCTGAACTTGTGGTTACATCAGCAGCATGGTAGTTACTTAACTGAAGTTCTTGCAGACGAAATGGTTATTTCGAAAAGTAGTTTATTTATTTTAGTTATTTACGAATATCTGTGTTACTGAAAGCATTGCTCTGTTTTTTTCACGTCAGAGTATAATTAACTATGATGCTAAAACTGTTATAAACTTTAAACAAATGTGAATAGAATCTGATTTTAATAAAAGAAAAACTCTCATATATTGTGTTTCATGCAAGGTAAAGGTTTATTATTAAATCGTTAAGTTACCTTTCAGAGACACCAGTAAGATCAAAATACCTGCTCGCAATTTCCACATGAATGAATCTTTTGTAACAGTTACACATATGAATAACAAGTTTGAAATATCTAACACATTTGAAAACGACATAAATTACGTGTAGATGATAACAACGTTACTTTCTTTTGCACATATGACTATTTATCAAAAGTTTATTTACATTTGCTGGTGACTGGTATGTTTGCAAAATATTAAGACACGATATGAGTATTAAAATATTTTTCCTATATTTTTTTTATAAAATACTTAATCCAAACATATTAACAAAAATATAATTTTATTCAAGAAACTGGACTGAAATACCTGTTAAGTCATGAAAAAGTTTGACACTTAAAACAATTTTTTTCTATGTAGGAAAATTATAATTTTAACATACACAATTACCTATGATATATTTGTCGCATAAACTGGACTGAAATACCGGTTAAGTCATGAAAAAGTTTGACACTTAAATGCAGGAAAATTATAATTTTAACATACACAATTACCTATGATATACGAGTATATGACGCATACACATATTAGATACTTTGACATTGTCAAAATTTTATCTAAACCAACGCGATTAAAACGAAAATAAGACCAACATTAAAAGTCATATGCTAAGATTACATAGTGTAGACACATAGCAATATAAAATCTGCTTCACAACATTTATTTAAATGTAATCATAGAAACATTTTAATCAAAAAGAAATGAAGCTGTTCGTTTTCGAGTTATCTATCCTTGATTTTGAAAATTGTAATTATTTCAAGGGCGGAGAATTTATACTCAATGTTAGCAAGACCTTTTTCTCTGTTTTTCATAAAGCTAACTTAATCTCGAGTAATTGCACAATTACAAGAACTTGTATTGGGTAATTTTTCTTTTTTTTTCTTTTTTACTTTTAGCTATGCCAAATTCATAAAATTCCCTATTTTTAATATTTGTTATATTTAAACTAAATGAAAAGAATGAAAATGCAAAATGTCTTGTATGAAAATTTGTCTTGTGACCAAGGATAAATTGAAAAACCTAATCCAAATGTATAAAAAAATTTGGTTTAACTCCTGTATAATTCATCTATCTTCAGATGACCTGAGATAACAAATTAATTCTGATAAATCGAAAACGAGGTTGGTGACCCCAATGTTTTTTTTTTTATATCAAACAAAGTTAAAACAATTATATATTATTCGTATATCTATATCATGCGACTTTAGCATGAGCACTTGCTTGTCAAATTTATAAAAGCTGTCTTTCTTAACGAGACGCGAGTTTTCCGAAAGGAAGCCAATTTACTATCTAGACCGTTTTCTTATACTAAGTCTTGTATTTTGTAAGCATTGCATTCATGCTAACAAATTGCGTTATAATACAACCAATGTAATTGTTGCTTTTTGTTCTATGAAATCAAATTCTTTGATGATTAAATGACTTCAAAGAGTATATTTGAGATGTTAGAACAAGTGAAAGTAATAGAATAAACCGGATATAGCGAGTACCACCAAAGATAATAATTTCAATGAAAAAAATAGCTGCTGACAATGTTATACTGTATTTCGAAATACATCGTACGATAAACACACCTATCATTGTCGCGGGCATATCGTCCGAGTGTACGCCTTCAACACACTGACCTCTGTTGATAAAAAATTGTCAATAAGTCTAGATTGCAAAATCTTGTTTCAGTGTAAAATTATCATATAAAGAGATAAAAAAATAAGACAATGAATCAATATAATATATATTTAAATCTATAGATAACTATCTGGTTATTTTAAGATAATTATGCATGTATTGTGTAAAATAACATTTTTGTATATATTTTTGGAAAAAAATGACAACCTTTTAATATTTCTTGTCTTGATTGAATTAGTCAAATCTTGTTTAAAGACAGATAAACACTTAAAATAATCAGACGAAACACCGTTATCTTCTGATATCATATACAATTTATCGCACTGTGTTCACTTTAGATAATGTCAGGGATTGTTTCTATCTACCTACAGCTAGGGTTCGAGTTTTATAGGTTCAAGTATGTTATTTGTTATGTGATGAAATATTGAGAGGGAAGGGTCAAATCCCGAAAATTTAGATTTGAAGTTCGCCTTTAAAAAGGTTATGAAGGACTTGACCTTGCTTTTTTCTTTATTATTATTTCTTACTAGTATTTTGAGGGCAAAGGAGTTAGGGACAGTTATATGTTTAGTTATTATCAACATTATTATTCCAGATTTATTATCATTAAGATGATTATTATAATTATTATCATTTTGATGATGATGATTTTTATAATAATAATAGTAATTATAATCATTATTATTATTAATGTTTATTGTAATTTAAATAACAACATCACAAACTTAATTACAAGCTCGTATATTTAGCATCTTCTTTTGTTCGAATGAAGAAAATACTTCGCCGGTGCCCATTATGATGCCCAAAAAATGAAATCAAATATCAACGGGGACGGGCGGTATTCAATGTGCGCATCCAAAAACAGAAACTATCAGCACAGAGTCATTAGCAAGGTGCCCAGCAAGTTACAAAACAAAAAAGGGCATAATGCATCGTTAGTTGCATCCTTATTATTATATATTTTGCTGTACATTTATCTGAAGCAATTATATAAATATAAGCTATTAATTTAGGGACGGGTCACTGACTAAGACAGTAATTGATTATATAGTTTTAATTCACTTCCATTTCTTAATTCAATTGTTTTTCTTTTTCCTTTTACATGGTATATGGCAACTGCTTACTTTTACAAATGTGAAATTATGAGTCAAATTTCCTTATCGCCTTTACAGTAGCTTTTGATATCTATTCATTACATCTGAAGATAAAAGTTAAAGGTAGGTCTTCAGCCTCCACGATTTTATTTTAATATTATATGTGCCGCGTCACGACAAAACCAACATAATGGGTTTGCGACCAGCATGGATCCAGACCAGCCTGCGCATCCGCGCAGTCTGATCAGGATCCATGCTGTTCGCTTACAGACCCTATAACAAGTAGAGAAACTGATAGCGAACAGCATGGATCCTGATCAGACTGCGCGGATGCGCAGGTTGGTCTGGATCCATGCTGGTCGCAATCCCATTATGTTGGTTTTGTCATGACGAGGCTCATATGTGCAGATAACTTTGTTTATCGTCCGATATAATTAAGTCTCAATGCATACATGTACTTTTACCACATTATAACAAACTGTAAACATGTGGACACAAATTATTGGAAGTTTTACTATAATTTCTTTATTACAAGGTAAATAATGATTATCATTTTATAATAATGCTTTTAGTAAACGTTTAGTCAGTATGTTATAACGATGTTTACATTTCACACTTTTCAAACACATTAAGGTTTAAATGGTTCATGGTAAAGTTATGGACTTTGTATTACATAAGCCACTCTTTGAACACGCGAATTCCACTTTGAATATTAAAATAGCAAAAATGATGAAAGCTATCAACTTTGCACAAAACCTCGATAATTGTGACTAAGAGCGCAATGTCTTTTTCATGGACACTGAGCGGCAGACAAGTTCAGAGGTATATTTAGCTGGATATTACAACATGCACCATTATAGTGTGACTAATTGCATACTAGACTAGTACTTATAATCAAAGAAACATAATTGTTATAATACAGATTTTGTGTGTTATTTGATGAAAAGAAACAAAATGTAAGACATAAGAAGCTCTTTCAATACTTTACATTTTCGATTCTTTAATCGTTGATGTGTCGATAATTACATTTTGAATAGATGGCTGTCTTCCTATTTTTGCTGTTTTTACAGTTTATAAAAGGACGTGTTTTGGCGTTTAAGCGTTCAAAATAATATTATTTATGTCTGTTGATTGCTTTTTTTTTGTTTCTTCTCCCGGTTTGATCTCAGGTAAATTCAAAATTTAAAATAAAAAAAACCAAACAACATTAAAGTGAAATTGTAATTGAATAAAAAATAACTAAAATTAAGAAAAGGTGCATAATTAAGTAATATACAAAATGTACAACAAAGTTAAATATTAAATGCAATTGCTTTATTGTAAAGAAAACAAAATTTCATATTGCATTTGAATGTTTCAGACTATTATGCATATAGGCAACTGGAATCAAATCGTTTAACTCCACATATTGCAAACAAATACTTTTAAAACGATGCCATGGCCTTTCAATGAAATTATTCAAGCATATTTTAATGGGTGGTGGTTTTTATATCAATGTCTTCTTACTTACTCGTATTTAATGTAATTGTACTTAATATAACACAGGCATTTTTGCCAGTGTTGTCATTTTGGTATAAGTAAGTATGCTTATTTTCGAACGCAAGTTTAATAAGAAATAATCAAACAGTGATCATCTATATTTATCATTGTATGTTTTAAAACATGTTCAAAACGAAAACTTCTGTTTCGGTAACTAAAGTATAACTTTTCTGAAATAAGTAATACACTTAAAACTCTTTAAACTAATAAGTTTTAAAGAAAATATAACATCAATCATTAAAATGATCATTTAATGCTTATGCAGTAATCGTACAATGATCACAATATTTTTCTGCACTCCCTTTCATTTCCTAAAAGCATCGCAAATAGTATTTACTGTCTATATAAGCATTATTACAGCGTTACGCAATGTAGCGAATAAGACATGATAACAAATAGCTAGTCCATAAGTACTTTTGTACTTAGATTTATCATCCAAACGAAAGCTGTACATTATCAGGTCATACGTGCATTTTTATCAGTTATTTTCTATTGTCAACTTTTGATGTCCTCTGAAAATGAATGGTAAACTATAAATCGATTTTATACTTTAATTAAGCAAATATTATTCATACTTTGCGCTACACAGAAAAAAGTGTATTGTTTATTATTTGTCACTTATATTTGTATACACAGGTAGACTTACGTCATCAAGCTGCATCATTGACACAGTTCAAAATGCAACTTGTGACTTTGAAACAGGACCATGTGAGTACCAACTTTCGAAACCTTGGGTGCTTGTATCGACGTATACGGACATGCTGTTTAAGAGCATTCCTTCTGCACATGGTAAGTTAAACTAGTCTATGTAATGATAAAGAAGGAAACATTAAACTAAATCTCCATTCAAATCTTTCTTAATATTGATTTATTTGCATTTAGTCAAATTAAGAATTTATCTTTTTACTTCATTTTTCACTACAATGGATATATTTAAAAGCGACTGTATTCGTAAGGCATGTGCTTGCGCTTGCAGGACGGGGTAGTGGTGATTGGACGATAGCTTGCATTAACTTAATTCTGCTGCCCACGTACACGTAATTACACGTAATTAAACCAAAAATAATTCTTAACCATACAAAAAATATGTTTTTGCTTGCAAGATGCTGTTTGTCACGCAATTGATTTCTGTAGAGATGTGCAGGGATGAATTGAATAATACTAGGCTTTTCATTGGTCATTTGAGCCTTTCCCCTAGCGTGTTAAAAAATAGTTATATTCACCCGAAGCTGTGGTATTTCATATTGTATCTCAAAATCAACGTACTTTGATTGCGTAAAATCTAATATTATAATTACTTGATTCTGTCATTTAACTAAAGAGACACACATTGGGCTATTGGTTTAGGTCTGTTGGCGAGATTTTGGTTCTAGAAAAAAATGCAGGATATATATTTTAAAAGTTGCATTTAAACAAACAATATTTTTAAAACAGCTTTCCGTTCCCGTATGGTAAGCTTAAGTTAAATTGATCTCAGTTCAAACGTATGTTAATGGTTAAAATGCTACGAAAAAAGAGTAGAGAAGTGTTCTTCTGGGGTCTGGCTTCTGAATGCCCGGCATTAATAAATAACAATATTCTGGCTGAGAAGTTGCCTTTAATGGTTATTCAAAGCATTTAGGTTTATACGACTTAATTGGTTCATATAAATGGAATTTTGCATCACTGATTTTGCTTTAAAGTTAGTAACATCCAAGGTTAGTTTTCTGTTTCTGTGCCTTATTTCCTGATCTGTTGAGTGAATTAAAACCAAACAATCAAACGAAAATTAAAAACAATTTTCTGATATAGAATTACCACCAAATTGACTCAGCTTGGCTGAGTATCTTTATACATTGTATTCCATATAACTTGTCATATAAAGACAAAATTTGCTAATCATTTGCTAATGGTACTTTATTGTTAATTACATGTATAAGTATACAACATTTATTACAATTATAACAATATACACATATCAGTAATTCTTTTGCTCTTTTTTCAAATTTTTAAAGGCGGCGGCAAAACATTTGTTGTGTTTAACTCTAGTTCAGCGGACAACGGGAATGCTTCATCTTCAATTATCGACAAAGGGGAATACTGTCTATCATTTTGGCACTTCTTCACCGGAAGCATCGTGCATTTGATATCGGAAACATCCTCCGGGAACAAATTAGCTGATATTCAAAACGGGAAACGGTCATGGAAGCAGTTCTCTGCCACAATAAAAGAACTAAATTCGTTTAAGGTACATTTGGTATTCAACTTACTAAAGCACACGTCCCCCTTTTTGAAGTGAATGGATTAACCTTTTTCGCTGACTGCAAGAACCGAGGTACAAATAAGTACAAATTCACTTTAAAGCAAAATCACCCCCATTGCACGACAGATAACAGTAAACACAAAATCTTAGGCAAATTATGACGGATCGCTATACAAGTCTAACACATTGGTCACCATCCATTCTCAAATAATTTTTCTCTTCCACGTCATTGTGAAAACAGCTTCTGGTAGCTGAAACATGCTTAAAACAATCTTTAAAAACTTAAAAAATCGGCCATTAAATATAGATTACATGGACTTTTTCTTGCTTAAAGCACGAATCTTCGATCCCCTGCTAGTGCTAGGGGGATGGATGGAAACGGGCTAGGGATGTAACTTTATGTAACTAAATTATCTGGTCCTCAGATCAGACACGATCGGGTATAAAACCTAATAAAGATATCTTTAAAGTATTTTGTTAAGTGAGGAATGAAAAGAAAGGAGCATTTGTTAACATACAATATTATTCTTATCAACATATTATTTCTGCTTGATAATATACTTTATACTTGATAATTGTAGACTAAAAACTCTTTCGAATAATAGATTATTATTTTATTCACTTCAATTATGTGAAGGGCTTAATGTAATGTTGTTAGAACTTGTTGCCCAACCCATTTGCTTTTGTTTTATTGTTTTAATCTGTATGTGTATTTGCATGTATATAGACAATAAGATATGGTTGAACTAAACTTAATTCACATAATATTCAGAATAAACTCAGAAATGAGTTACATGTATTTTTGCAGATTCCTAAACGCTTTTTGTTTTTCAATAAAAAATGATGATTTGGGGTTTTGTAACAATAATAACGTATGTGTGATAAGTTTTGTGTATTCCATATAATGTTTATAATATATACTTGTGATACTGTGCGTTGACCGCTCTGCAATGATTCATGTTTCTAAATTGAACATTTATTACAACTTTGAAAATACCTAAGTAGGCATTTTATTTTATTGTTGTGGGTTTGTCAAAAAAAGTCCTTAATTTCATTTTAAATTTAAAACTAGATTTCGTTTTTGTTAATACATGTAATACAAAAACAGAAATACAGAACTTCTCGGTATACGTTCACAAGATAATATATCTACTTAACAGTATATAAATAACACATGGGTTTGTTGGTAACAGTAAAAATATCATCCCGAGGAAAATACTATTACCCGAGAAGCAATAACTAAACTGTCCTTACCTTGCAAATTACTGTAGGCCTACTTGAGAAGTTGTTTTTCTTTTATTCTTTAGGCAAGTGATGATATCTACCAGTCATAAACATAAAATAAGCTGTGTTTTATTTAGAAAACAAAAAAACTAACCCATTTATAAGGTTATGATCTGTGAAATCTGATCCTTCTGCATCAAGAATACTCCTTGCATGGTTTTTGACAAAGTGCATTTAGAAAATAACGATGATATGTCCACCAACTCTATCTGTAACGTTTTACTGGTTAAAATTGTTAAATAATCCTTTGTTGCATGCTTTAATTGTCTGCATGTTCCAGTTTGACACAAAATTATTTACATTACAATTACTTCCGTTGAAAACGGATGTTTCCTGTTGACTATTCAACAAAAAGATATTTAATACGCGAAAGGGACTCTAGGGTGCAAAGAACTAAATTTTATCAGAGTTATAGTTACTTCGGCGATGCCCTATCGTCGAAAATAAGAATGAATCGAGAAAAAAATGGCGGCCATTTTATTTCATTTTATTTAGAAAATAGACCATGTGACCAGATTTTATACTGTTAAAAAATACTGTTACCTATGTTACAGTACAAAATCGTAGTCACGTGGTACACTTGCATTAACAGTAAGAATAACTCCCAGGCCTATGGGAAATTAACATTACGAAAAATGTGAGGGGTAATAATAATAATTGTTAGTTCCATGACAATTGTGTTTAAACAAATACGTACCACGTCAATACTATTTTTTTTAATTATAGGTTATATTTAGAATTATCAAAGGGAATGGACTTTTTGACAAATTTGAAACAGTTGGGATTGATGATATTGTCCTTGGTATGTATCCTATCAATGCTGCGTTTCAGTATATTAGCTCATTCATTTTGATACATTTTTTTTGTCGTCAAATAGCACAATGAAAATTTACAAAAATAATATGTCATAACACATGATAAAATGCCATGTAAGATGCAGCTCATAAGCAACCTGCACACGATACGTTTTTAATAAAACCATAATATATCAACTATGTAAATGAATACACCAATTTTTGATTAATATGACTATGCACTTTTTTGATGTGGCTGAAGAAGATTCGCTATCAGTATGTTAATATGACTCTGACTTACATGACATATGATCTCCTTTGTTGCTGTTGTTTCTTTCTTTAAAAATAATACACAATTGATAAAGGCAACGTTTTTGAATTGTTAAAATGGATGACCAAGCACCCAACCTGAAATAACTGATTCTCATTCTATATGTAAGAATAGAAATATATATAGATAAGAAATTATATGAAATATTCTAAAGAATGATATATAAAATGTCTGAAATACTATTTGGAATTGTTATACTCAGGTGTTGGCCCATGTACTCCAGCAAACACTAGTACATCCTCATTTGACCCAAAGTCCAACAGCAGTGAGATGTATTTAAAAGAAAGGTGGCACATTAAAAACGGAACATTTCAATTTCATGCTGTGTCCATTTCCCCACGAACTGGTTCAAGTACAGGTAAAAATTTGGTTGACATCCTTTTCTTTAGTGTTCTATAGTTCAGATTTTATAAACTAAAAAATGTGTTGTTGTTTAAGTTCATTTGACTCATAATTTTGTTATTTGATACATTATCAGTTTGTGTTATTTTTTTTATTTACCCAACTATGTCAATTTTCAATGTCTACATTTGGCAACCTGTTTATCTCCTGATACAACTACTGTGCAATAAGGTTATGATAAAATAGCTAGATGGACGGCGCTGGGTGATGAAGCTATCTAGCTTGCTTCCGGTACGTCGGTGGTTCTACTCAGGTAGCTGGTCTTGTCTGAAATAATGCACACAGGGCACCTGTGGTCTTCCTTTACCAATAAAGCCAATAAAGCATGAAAGTCGCTATATGAATATAACAGTCTTGGTGGGACGTAAAACCCAACAAATAATAATAATAACAATTATAATGAAGCCACGATTTCATGATGTGCTGAAGAGTCGTATTATACGTTTCAGTAATACTCATAGCAATTGATGGTTTCAAACCTGGTGCAGTACTTAGCGGAACTGAGTGCAATGTATACTTATGCAAATTTGAAAAAGATTTTATTAGGATTTTTAAATAAATTGGTTGTATTAATTTAAATGTGACAGTTATATTGCCCTCCATTGGTTGATATACATGAATGTAAGTTTTTGTGATGATGAAGAAATGAATCACAATGTATAAGGAGTTTAATATCTGACAAAGTCGAGAAAGTAAAGTTGCTGGTAAAACTGAAACCTAAACAAAATCACTTCTCAATCTATTTAAATGTGCAAAATCAATAGCTGGTCGATTATGTCATGTGACTTTTGTATATATGTTTATATGTAGTTATATGTGTGATCTTCTATTGCATATACATGATATATGCGTGCATTTTTGTTACATATATTATATGTCTTTCTAGTTGAAATATGATCACACTTATTGAGATGACCTCAACTAGTTAGATTGTTAACCCTGTAAAGAAAATAGTAATTTAAGGCGGCACATTTTATATATACAACACATGTCTTAGATAACGTTTAGAGAAATGTTGTGACTTTAAATAATACATGTATATTTCAATACAAAAAACGTTATGCTGATATAAAGTCATGCAAAGAATTTTGCAGAGAATTGTTAATTGGAATTCTTTTTATAGTCCAAGGACTGCTAGAATTAATATATATTATTGCTTGGCGATGCTCAGTATATTCTTAAAAAATACTTTCTTTTAGAAAGATGATGTTTTGGCCTATGGATAAAACTTTCAAATATATATTCATGACATAATGCTTTCATATCAATGTTTTATTTCAGATAACTATTTTGCTTTGTTCAAAGCACTAAAAATTCAAAATAAAACAGAGGACACAATGACAACACAGTGTATGTTACCAGGCAGATATTGTCTAAATCTGTGGATGACTGGACCATCTGGAGGAACCCATTGCAACATTATGGTTCATACAGTAGAAGGAGATAGGACTATAGGAATATTAAAAAGGACAATGAACTGGACAGAGCTGGCTATTCCATTTTCATCTACATCCGATTTCGAGGTGTTTTAAAGTTTTGTTTATGAAAACGTCTATTTGTAAATAATTTGACATTATTAACAATATAAGCCGCTGTGCAGCAAAAACATCTTTGCAACAACAGTATTATTTCTTAACAAAGAAAAGATTAGCGCTATATTTTACCCTTAGTGAAACACCTCTAAGCAACAAAAACAATTTTGTCTCCTAAGCAGGAGATGTTGCTAGTAAAGAAAAAACAACAATATAATGTTTTAATTTAAGAGTTTAACTCGGCTAGCAGACTTTTATAATGAATATCCATGTTCTGTTGAATATAAGAGTATCCTTTATTATAAGACTATCAAACAAAAGACATAAACAAACTAACAAAGAATTATTTTAAAAATCTGTAACAAAATACTCTGCTAATACACCCTTCATTTTACATAATATTTCTTTTCTTGAACTTCAGATTGTTTTTCATCCGAATGTCAGTGAAACAATAACACCGTCTGGACATCACATTCCACCTCATATTCTGATAGGGATAGATGATATACATATTTATCCTGTACAGAGTAATGATGGTAAGCATTTCGTATAAATCATTATAATTGTGTTGTTTTAATGAAAATATACTCAGTTCCAAAAAAGAATGTGTGCACTTGGTTACCCGGAGATTGTGTATACCTGTCACATGTACTCATTTGAGCATAATAATAATAGGCAAATTTGGTATCTGCAGAACTGAATGGCCACATATTGGGTATGTTTGTATTGATATGTTGATACGTTTCGATTAAACAGCGGATCTTTATCTTTGAAATTATTTTTTTTTTTAATTAATTTATTATTTCACTACGATATTAATTATAAATATGTACTTTGATTAGCAAATGATAATAATTATCCAAATGAGTTCATCAACAATATGATATCTTTAACAATGATTATAACCGTTCTTAACAAGGATTTGTTAATTCCATTCAAAAGCTTTTCGTTTGCGTATGGCGAAACAATTTTACAAATAAATCATCAAATAAAAGAAATTACGGTTTATTTGTACTTATCATGCGAGCTTAATTCCAAACAGTTTCGATTTATTTTAGAGTGTAAAAAATCCACAACACCTGCAACGATATCATCATCTTCTACCAAAGTAGAAACAACATCGACAACACCAACGTCCACTACAACAACTACAACACCGACAATAACAAACCCGACAACAACAACAACACCGACGACCACAACAACACCGACAACAACTACGACACCAACAACTACGACACCAACAACAACAACGACAACCACAATAACACCGACAACCACAACAACACCTACGACACCAACAACAACACCGACACCAACACCGACCACCACAACAACACCGACAACCACAACAACACCGACTACCACAACAACTACGACAACCACAACAACACCGACAACAACAACAACACCGACAACCACAACAACACCGACAACCACAACAACACCGACAACAACAACACCGACAACCACAACAACACCGACAACCACAACAACACCGACAACCACAACAACATCGACAACCACAACAACCACGACACCACCAACAACAACCACGACAACAACAACGTCGACAACATCACCGACAACCACAACAACTACGACACCAACAACAACGTCGACAACCACAACAACACCGACGACGACCACAACAACACCGACGACGACCACAACGACACCGACGACGACCACAACGACAACACCGACGACGACCACAACAACACCGACAACTACGACACCAACAACAACACCGACAACCACAACAACGCCGACAACACCAACAACACCGACAACCACAACAACTACGACACCAACAACAACACCGACAACAACAACGACACCGACACCGACAACCACAACAACACCGACAACCCCAACAACACCGACAACAACTACTACACCGACAACAACTACGACACCAACAACAACACCGACAACCACAACAACACTGACAACCACAACCACATCGACAACAACTACGACACCCACAAGAACTACGACACCAACAACAACACCGACAACCCAAAAGTCTACGACATCAACAAGCACAACAACAACGAATCCGATTACCACTACAAAAACAACACCGAAAACTATAATAAGAACGACACCAACACTCTCAACAACTACGACACCAACAACTATAAAACAGACCACTTCAAATCCGACGGCAACAACAATGCCAACAACGGCAGCAATCACAGAAAAAACGACACCGACATCAACACTTACAACCAAAACATCAACATCGAAATTAACAACGACATCAACAACAACAACACGTACAATAAGCACATCAGCGGAAAGAACTACACCGTCAACAATACAGAAAACGTCCTCAACTATTGGTAATAAAACATCAACTTTACAAATTTCTTCCACTTCTGAAGCATCAAACAATGCAACAACAATTTCTCCTCCAGTGTTTTCAAACGTAACAGCACGAGTCAGTTCAACCACTTTAAAAGCAAAATCGGGCATGACAACTTCCAAATTAAAGAGCACTTTTATGCCAACACAGACTTCTCAGTCATCTCCATTGTCTAAAGCATCTCCCGTTTCTATGTCATCTCCCATATCTAAACCAGCGACAACGATATCAAACTTGAAAGGAAACAATAGTCCGCAAAAATCAAAAAGCAAAACGTCTACAATAGTTGGAGGCGTTATTGGAGGGTTGGGGGCGTTTATTCTAATTCTTGTCGGTGTTTATTTCTATATGAGATACAAAGGTAAGATGGCATCTGACGCTTCAAAATACTATGCTGATGATGATTTCCAAGCTACATTTGGACAAGTAAGTTGTAAGGCGACATAGCAAATGATGTTGATATGAAACATATGAACGGTTGTAAAAAACGGTGTTCAAAAATCCCGATTACTCCGCAATGGACATGCAAAACCAATCTTCAACCAATTTTTCTGGTATTCGTTTTAGTGGATCCGTAGTTTTGACAATAAGATTTTAAATAAATTGAAAAAAAACTGTGTTGTAATTAGAATAGAAAATATATTTAATCAGATATACATGGATAAGGCAAGAACACAACCAAACGAATTTACGATTGGTGAAAAACAAACTGTCCGGCTGCTGGTCAGAATGATATTAAAGGTTGTATTATCATGAAAGTATTATAAGGATTTTTTAACGTCTTTGTATAACTCTAGGCGCATGAATAAACATATTTTGCACTTGCTTTTTAAATCAGCAATGTTCATTCGCATAGTTGTCCTTTATAGACTATTATGGAGGCCGTGGCATGCTTAAATTTGTTATATAAACTTTTTATGATTTATATCATCATATATGATAAAAAAAGAGTTAAATAACAATGTGTCTCACTGTTTTTATTTAAATAGTCTTAAATAGTTCTACTGGCTGCCATTTTTTGCGAATTGACGGAACTGGAAATAATTTTCAATTTGTATACAAGTTAATGTGTTGTCTATAACCCAAAATAATAATTTTAATTATCTATGCTCAAATTTCAAATTTATTGATTTCTCTCTACGTTTTTTCCCCATCTTTATGTGTAAAAATGAGCTTTTTGCTTTTAACTCAAATCAGGCTAAGAAACAAAGTGTAGATATCGGGGAGTATATTTCTTGCTATTATCATTACTTGAAAATGTTTGAATGCCCCAGTTGACCTATGTAATAGTTTTATATATTTTTGAATTATATATTCTTAGGCGTTTGGACCACATTAGAATACAATTAAAGAGTCAGACAGTGTTGTCGCTATCGACAACGCAACCCGCAAAGTGTAACAATCAGCCATCATAAATCTAGACTCATGATATCCTTTACTTAGTTCAATTACGAATTTGTACAGTGTTGGTGTTGCCTCCATTTCCAGATACCATTACTGGTGATCGTTTTTGACCGAATGTTCTTGTAATGGTGACTTTGGTTCCGGATAGTTACTCTCCTTTGCATAATCGTCAAGTAGTCAAGGTTTAAAAAAATTTAAAACTGCATGTTATACAGTACTGTATATAAAAATGATCAACAAACCCTGATAATAATGATGATGATGATGGAAATGATGATACAGATGACTGTGGTGATGTTTTTTTGTGATGATGATGATGATAATGATTCAATTGACAATGATGGTGATATTGGTGATGAGGACAAAAATGACGATGATGATAATGCTAAATATTGTTTTGTTGTTGTTTTTGGCAGTTGACTATTATTATTATTTTTATTGTATTCATTTATTATTTTTTACATCATGAATATAATTGTCACAGAATACAGTCCATATCAATATTATGTTCTTCCACGTCATCCTGGCCACAGCAATGAGATCATCCGTTTTATCAGCAGGGGTAACAACCAATATATTTTGCTTTGCTGTTTGTTGTCCCATGATACATTTTTCAATAACATGTATCATATTAATTATGAACATAACTTTATATACTTTTCCTTTCCAATGTGCTTCACTTCGGTCCTTCGAATCAAATCATTGATTCCAGCACTTTTAAGTGTTGAAAATTGAGTATCACTTAAGCCGTTGCTAGGGGAGGTGAGGAATGTTACACTTTTACATTATCCCTTATTTATATCCTCAAATTTAAATTGTTATCTGTCAAGCGACCATTGTTATAATGTCTTTCACAAGTGCATTTTGTTAATTTAACATAATACCATGTGGGGAATCAAAGAACAGGCACTCCTTTAACGAGTGTATAAAGGTTTATTCCTGTTTAAATTTGATTAGTGTTAATCTTTTATAAAAGTTTGCCGCTATTGAAGCAGAGAACGCTTTAACCAACGGGAAGTTACTCTTACGGGGTAACATAAAATATGTTTTACACAGTTGCATTTCTTTGCATATTTCGATAAGGCTGTGATGATAATGTCCACATACTGTTAATATTTATAATTAAAGAGCGCTTGTTCTGGCATTGCCTCTTTAAAATTGAACTATTAAATTCATTAACGGTACAGTAAAATAGATTTTGCCACATTTTCACTGTTTCATATGAGCAGACACGAATTTGATTTAATCCTGTTAATTGGTCATTAAAGTCTGTTAAGAAGATATTGATTTCACAAACGACTTTTGTTGCTGCATAATGTAACATGATGCGCTCCTTGAACTTGCTGCACTCCTTAGAATTGGAGCATTATTATATATTCTGCTGTATTATACTTGTTGGGTTTGCTGCAGTATTAGACAAGTCACAGTATAATCTCCATGTACTTGCTGTGTTCTTTGAACTTGCTGCGCATCTTGAACGACAGACCTTCCTCGTCTTAAACTTCTTTTCACGGAAGCAGATATCTCTGAGACTTGATTCATTACCTTGTCGCGGACCGTTGCTATGGCTCAACTATTTGCTACAAAGCAGGCCGTTTTCTAGACTCGCTGCGTGGTTTGGTTTCTTTACTTTACTGTCATTTGTTCACAAAAGGAGACATGCTAAAAAAGCTTTTTGACAATATTTAGGTTTCATTTGTAGTTTCATTTCATATTATATATTATTATACACAACCCACAAATTGCATACAACGCCATAATTGTAACATCACAACAAGACAAAAAAAAGTAAATAAAAAATAATAATAAAAATTATAATTATAATACTAAAATGGCGACATTTGTGCTTCATTTTCTGAATAAAATGCCTATATTGACAGTTATGCAAATTTTAATTTTGACTAGTTTAAAAAATATGCAATTTTCATTTGCCATCGTTTATTGTTTTATAAAATAATTAAGTGCTGGAAAGGTTTTTAAACTAGTTTCAATCTAAAAGTGATATAATGCGCATTTTCTGCCGTAAAGATGGGCTGAATTAGCGCTATGTTCCAAAATATATGGATATTGACTAAACGATGGTAATATTTATTTATAGAAAACAACTACAACACCATCAACAACAAAACACACGCCATTTTCCAATATCAGTAATCAAACAGTATATTTAAAGATTTCAAACATATCTCACAAAATGTTTGAGACATACTGACTAAGATTTTTATAAAATGACATACATTTTAACATTTCCCTGATGTTTTGCCTTTCCTTGTTTCCATCTCCTCAAATATTTCATATATGAAATTATCTTTAATGCGCGTATTTGCATGCAATACATTTTCTCTATGTAAATATATATGTGTTATGCCAGGCTTTATTCAAAATGCTATTTTGCTTATGTGCAGCAAATGTCAAAATTAAGACAGTGCAGATATATCAAACGAATATTACAAATTTGTATTGGCCTACTATCAATATATCATCTTTATTTCTGGTTTCTTAAGTTTAGCAATACTGAAAATCACTTGAACACCAGTATGTATGAGTACAATATGTTAAACATCCCTACACGTTAAATAAGTGCATTCATTAATTTTGTAGGTAAAGATCCATGACGGGGTTTTTAATTAGTTAATAATGTGCGAAACAACTTCAGTACATGAATGATACGAAGGGTATAAAGTCAACAATAATGTAAGCATTAAATGTGAAAAAAAATCAACATTTTATTGTTCTAATCTTAAAACAGGCGTTTGAAACAAAAGTTACTAAACTAATTTCTTGTTTTGCATTAAGGGATAAATATTGCATTATACGATAAATTGTACTTTTCTAACTCTCTTACATTTAAATGTATCTATTTACATTTTAATTGGCAATCGTCCTTTTACAATGGGCTTACATTACATAATTGGAAAACATTACATTTCTCATATTGGACAATCGCAGGGAAAACAAGTTTTTCAATTGGTTAATTTAAAATGTATCTAACATAAAGACTGTTTAATAAATATTCAATTTATGTTCACCGTTATTCTATTATAAAACTATTGCTTGTGGTTATCAAGAATATATTATGAATGACAAATTTCACATTTTCCAATTTTAAAGTCTTATTTGGTCTAATCTGATCTAATCTGATTTTTCATTAATTTGAAGAAGTCCTGGAGATAAATTCACATAGTACTAAAGTATTAAATTACTTTAACAATCGTTTTACGGTAATCAAATTTAAATAAAAGCACTATTTTAATATAATTGTTTATGGAATATGTTCATAATCTTCGGACGTTGATCGGTCAATAAACAGGCCCAACCAAACAAGTTTGTAATGTAAGTCGACTTGCAAGATTAAACTCTTCCAACTTTTTTAAATGATACATCAGCGTTGTTTGTACTGCACGGAGTCCGTTATTTTGTATATTCGATCTCTGAAGTTCTTTCAGCACCGACGGTGGTCAAGTTGCTAAGCTACCTGCCTCTCAACCAAGGGTTCATGGATTCGAGCCCTACTCGCGTCATGACCATAAATTTTCATTTAACAACACAATCCTCAAAAAGGCTTTTACGTCAATTTCTCCTTTAATACAAAATCTTTTCTTAAAGATGTCAATAATCGTTTTCTATTAAGGAACTTTCATGTTAGTTCGTCCAATAATTATTCTCGAGAAAAAATATGCACCATTACAAAGTGAAAGAAGTTATTCCAAATTAAAGTATAGAATGAAAATACGAAAGACCAAAACTACAGTATGCTAACTATGTATATGCATCTCATACACTGCATTTTAAAGGGACTCCTATGAGGTTTAAAAGCTTAAAACATAACATTTGAATTTTGTACATAAATAAGCTTGGGCACTTTAAACAGAAATATATGCAAAGATAATTAAGAAATATACTTTGATCGTATTTTTTATGTTTTTCTTAGCCCGATTTGAGTGAAAAGCGTTTAAACGTTTTCCATTTTGGGCCATTTCTTTACAATTTGAATAATTATTCTGGAAAAACAAAGTGCGCGAATGATCTGAAATTTTGCACAGAGATTAGTGGTCTTAACCTACATCAAATGGTTCATTTATCCGGAAAAAAAATATTTTGAGCCCCGTCATGTTAAAAAACCACAATGGAGTTCCTTTAACTCGACGTAATCAATTGATACGTAAGATACGTTTCTAGGTAAGCTCCGAACGAAAATCATCTATGAAAAATACAAAAGTCAATTTTTTCACAATTTAAACAAAAGAGAGTTATAATTCTTCAACACCATATTCTCATTCGTCATATGTCGCTAAGATGCTGATATTCTTATCACAGTGAAATGCATATGATATTATATAATTATTTTTCTAACTAAGTGAAGAAATGTATCTACGTGTCACATTTTGTTACTTTCGTTTTCGCACTAAATGTGACCAATGTGGAAAATAGTAAGACTCTTTTGTCATGTACACTATACCAAATTCATAGGTAATTTTGTACCCTTGTTTACTTACTTAAAATAACCAAAGTAGGTATACATTTGTTGTAGCTTGTTGCCATATTTTTATCAAACATGATTTTGCCACATAAGTCTAAGGCTTTCTGGATGAATAATGCATAACCTTGTAAATGTGTTTATCTTTATATGAAGGCTTCATATTAATAATTATTATAGCAACAATGATAACAATTATACTAACAAAATCCGTTGCATCTTTCACAATGTCAAGTGAGTTAAAATACACTATATTTATTGTCCGGGAATGGTATCTAGAACAGACTTAATTGCATAAATGTTCTCTACTTGCGTACCGTCTGAAACAGTAATGACATAAATAGACGTAAGAGTCGCTTTGATTTCAATCTATTGTTGCTTATTTAAAATGCATCATAGTTTTAAATTAAAAGAAAACACGAAATACTGCACATAAGTATCGGTCTATTGTTTGATTT